CTGTATCAATAAACAATTTCTTCATAACATTATAGTTCACTGAACTTTTGTTCGAAGGCATGATAGAGGGTTAAAAAATAGAGGCTGGTCAATTTGTTACCATAAGTGTATAAACGTTTTTTTTCACAGCTTACAATGGATTATATTTATTAATGTCTCCTTCAGCATCTCCACTAATGTGTTTACAGAGACGTTGGACCACACCACTGCATGTGGTGTTAAAAGACCACTTATCCACATGTATTTAGCTTCGTGTAATAAATATCTCTGTTTTTTCTGTTTGTCTTTCTCTCTCTTTCTGCTTCTCTGTGTATCTCTCTCTGTCTCTCTGTCTCTCTTTCTCTATTAAACTCGCTTTTCCTTTCGCTCGCGGTATCTGTCTCTGTCTGTCTGTCTGTCAATAGCTCTGGCAAACACACATACACGCACAAACAAACACGCACGCACACACGCAAGTACCCCCCCCCCTTTGCTGTGATATTAAACACATCTGTCTAACGAGTTTATAAACATGTTGCCATCATGAACGAGCATTTATGCAACACAACAGACTTAACCATAGCAATATATCATCCACTTCAACGGTAGTGTTATTGCCTCAAACTCTCACTCTCTCTCTCTCTCTCTCTCTCTCTCTCTCTCTCTCTCTCTCTCTCTCTCTGTATCACTCTGCTCTCTCTGTCTCTCTCTATCTCTGTGCTTCTCTTTGCCCCACCGTCTTTCTCTGTGATTTTCTCCTTCTTTCTCTCTCCTCCCCTCTCGCCCCCACCCCTCCTCTCTTTGTCTCTCTCTCTCTCTTTGTCTGTCTGTCTGCCTGCCTGTCTGTCTGTCTGTCTGTCTGTCTGTCTGTCTGTCTCTCTCTTTCTCTGTATCTCTCTGCTCTAAATCCTCTTTCTTGTTTATCAGACTTGATCTCCTTCCTCCCCCTCCCCCCTCTCTTTCTCTTTGTCCCCCCCTCTCTCCCCCCTCTCTCTCTCTCGCTCTCTCTCAACCCTCTCTCTCTCTCCCTCTCTCTCTCTCTCTCTCTCTCTCTCTCTCTCTCTCTCTCTCTCTCTCCCTCTCTCTCTTGTTTATCAGACTTGCTGGGAAGCTAAAAATAATTACCTCCATTCTTTAGCCCCTTGTAGCTACAAGGTGTGATTCTGATCGTCCCGGTAGACGCGGATTTTTGTCTTTCAACAAGGGTCGCGTCTTCCATCAAGTTATCGCGCTGCCTACACAAGTAATCCATTTGTAACGCTCACAGTTTCGGACCTCTCCTGAGAGACAGTATCAAGCGATACTGGAATCTTTCGTCTCGGGAATTTTGGCTGGCACTTGGACAGGCCAGCAGTTTTTTACGACTTCCTTTGCACTTTCCTCCAAGTGCCTTTTTCTCGTATTAAAAAAAAACACCTAGCAACATAGCAAATAAACCCAACATTTCTGATTCTGTGTGAGGAATGACGGATGTAAAGTTGTCCCTTTCATTTGTTTATACTTGGGTGGGGTGTGGAAAAAAATGTTAAAAGAGTGGGGGTTGGGGGGGGGGGGTATGATTTGCTGAGCGTCATTTCGCTTTGGGGGATGGCGGGGTATTTATTTTTCAATGGTCTATCTGTTCGAATGTATGCCTGTGTGTGTGTGTGTGTGTGTGTGTGTGTGTGTGTTGTGTGTGTGTGTGTGTGTGTGTGTTTCCTTCGTTTTGCCTTCGTTGCCTGTTGCTACAAAGTGACACTTTTGGGGCTGAGATGGCAGCGTATCTATCTATCTATCTATCTATCTATCTATCTATCTATCTATCTATCTATCTATTACTTTGACTTAGTTTGACTTGCACAAATTTAAGAAATGTCGAGACAGATACTTAGACAAATGCAAAGATTAATGAAGAAAGGTTTGAAAATGAAGAGCAGATAGATAGATAGATAGATAGATAGATAGATAGATAGATAGATAGGTAGATAGATAGATAGATAGATAGATAGATAGATAGATAGGTAGGTAGATAGATAGATAGATAGATAGATAGATAGATAGATAGATAGATAGATAGATAGATAGATAGACGAAAAAACCCATCGGGCAATATCTCCGACTGGCCAGCTGAACCACACTAGAGGCGAAATGCCCTGTCTCTATCCCAGCAAGCAACCACGTTCACCAGCCCCTTGTGTTCGCTGTAAGAACATTTGTAATTCAATATAATTTACCTTGTGTTTATTCTTTTGCAAATATTTGATTTAGTTAGTAAATAAAGAAAACATTCCTCATGTTTTTCCTTGAGAAAAATTCCAACTGGCATGTATTTCTGGAATATTTTCATACTTATTTATTTTTGTATTTATTATACTTATCTTATCAAATATGGCGACTTTGAATTGACTCTAATTGTCCTTGTCTTCGTAGTAAGTAATGAATGCTCATTACAAATGATCTGCTGTTTCTGTCAATCTGGCTTATTTTACCCTGCAGTAACTACCCACCAAGGTGCCTCTCTTTATTAAAACAGACAATTATAGTGCGGTAAAAAATTCGTGGCGCAACTTATTGTCAAATGTTTCTTAAACTATTGAACATAGGTTCTCCCACTTTTCCAAAATGGTTTGTAGGGGGCTCTCGTGGCCTAGAGGTTAAGGTGTTGGCCTCTCATTCAAAGGTCCCGAGTTCGATTCCGGGTAGCGACCAAAAAATTTTCTTCTCTAAAATTTTCTCCTTTCACATCCTTTCCTGATCTCTAACAATGTTCTGTTGTCTGCTTTCATTTCCACTTTCTGCCCCCACCCCCTCACCTCCTTTGCCCCCTCCTCTGGGCTCCTGACTCTTTCTGCAGCCTTTCTACTGCTACTCCTTGGCTCCTCCTAACTGCTGTCTTTCTGCCACACCCCTGATCTTCTGGTAGGAAAGATCTACACCTAGCCTTCTCGAACAAGGGCGAAAAATCTCGGAGGGCCCGTGTGCAAGTTGCGAACGTTAAAGATCCCTTGGTGGTCTAAAATCGATAAGAGTAGGCTTCGGCCGCCACCCGTGCAAAATTCAAAATTTCCTACCAACGAAAAAGTATTAGGTGTGTCCCGCGCGCTCATATGACCTTATGCAGTTGCGAGCGCCGTAAAACACTATACTAAAAAAACAACAACAAATGGTTTGTATTACTCTGTCTAAACAGATCAATATTTCTATAAACATCTCTTAGCTGTATTCTAGAGAATTCCTAAATAAATACGTATTAAAAAGCCAGGAGGGTAGTTTCTACGGATTTCGTAAAAAGTTTACAGCAGGGCAAAAGTGCTTTTAAAAGCAAGTCTGTAATGTTTTTCTAATCGCAACATTGTGCTTATTGGACGTACTCGTATGTTTTGAGCACCGTTAGAGCAAAAATGTGTTCACTATAAAATCAATTTCTTGTAACAAGTTTCGCAACTCATCGGTGTCATTGATGAGCTGTGACGTAGGCCATAATATGTGAATGCTAACTGTTTGTGAGGAGCGGGAAGTGCTGTGACAATTCCATTTTTACCTTCACGGAGATTTATAGTACTTAATATAAATTTGAGAAGTTTTTAAAATCAAGTCTCAAGAACTATGGAAAAAGTATGATTAAGTTAAGACAAATTGATAGAAATTGCAATGCCAAGTACGGGTGACATTGATTCACCCAGAAGGAGATATTTGAGGGTAAGTTGCGCCACGAATTTATGACCACACAATAGTCAACTGCTTTTTAAAAGTAGTAAATGTTACTCACTAGTAAGATAAGGCATCTTATTTCACCCGATGTTGCATGTATGGTCTTGTCTTCTCAAAACTTGACTACTGTAATTCTGTTCTGTCTGGTATTTTGTGTGAACGAATGAGTAAATTGCAAGTGGCCTAAAGTAACACTGCAAGATTAATGCTGAAGAAAAAGAAGTAAGATTCTGCGTAAAAAAATTAAAAGCTCTGCATTGGCATCCAGTAGATAGAAGAATCCAGTATAACGTTTCTGCCATCTGTTATAAATGTCTTAACGATAAAGCCCGTCATATCTATCTGTATTTTCTACCTCGTCAGTTACGGTCATTCACTGATTCAACGAAATTCAGAGCCCCTAGAATGAAATTACGATCTCTTGGGGAGAACAGTTTCTCATCTTTTGGAACAAAAATCTAAAACTCCTTGCCCCAGGATCTCAGAGAAATAACAAATTTTGATATTCTGTCGTCTGCTGTACTCTCCACTTTTCGCCCCCCGTTCATTTGGCCCCGTCCTCTGGGCTCCTGACTCTTTCTGCAGCCTTTCTAGTGCTACTCATTGGCACATTCTTAGGATAGGTAAGATCTAACACCTAGTCTTCTAGGATAAAAACGAAAAACATCTCGGAGGTCCCGTGTGCAAATTGCGCACGTCAAACATCCCTTGGTGGTTTTAAAATCGATAAGAGTCGGTTTCGGCCTCCAACCGGCTAAAATAAAAAATTAATTCTTACCAAACTCAAAATTATTATCAATGAGTCCCTCGTGCTCATATGACCTGCCGTTGCGATCGTTGTAGAACACTTTAAATAATCAGCAAAACAGAAAGAAAAACAAGCACAATGGGTGCCCTGAGCACCGCATAAAACAACCTGAGTTCAAGAACGCTCTCTCTGGGATTCTAACAAGTACCATCAAATTTGCAGTCCAGTATGATAGCAACTGAGCTAGCAGACTATCACATTTTGCAAGTGCCGTAAAACTCTCATTCAAACATAACTGGTCGTTTTTAAGGACAAGCGGGCTAACCCAGATTTCGGGGGGCTTCCAGAATTCTTGGCCTACACCAAAAGTGGGCATTGCTCTACCTATAGGAGGAGTTTGGTTTCACTGGTGTACATGTTTATTTGGATAGAGAGAAAACTTTCCTTGTCTTTTATAGAGACTGAGCAAAAAGCAGAAACTTTACCTTCGATTTTCTCAAAACAACATTTTTCGGGATAGTCCATTTTGCTAAAAAGCGACCCTCAGGAGCATTCACGACTTTCCGTCTTTGTGTCCCCGCAGGTTACGTAAGCGTGGTGAGAAGCTGCTGCACAGTAAGTACGTGGTGATCCTGGTCATCATTCTCACCGTCACCGACTGTGCTCTGGTCATCGCCGAACTCATTCTGGACCTGTCAAGTGTCAAAAGTGAGTACGTCTCTGTCTCTGTCTATAAAGTCAGTACTTTTCTGTCTCTGTCTTCTGTCTAAAGTGAGTATGTCTTTGTTTTTGTCCACCATCAAAAGTGAGTACGTCTTTGTCTTTTGTCTTGGCACTCTATCAAAAGTGAGTACATCTTTGTCTTTGTCCTCTATCAAAGATGCGTAGGCCTCTGTCTTTGTCTCTATCTTCTATCAAAAGACAGTACTTCTTTGTCTTTGTCCTCCATCAAAGGTGTATACGTCTCTGTCTTTGTCTCTGTCTTCTATTAAAAGTAAATACATTTCTGTCTCCGTAATTGCCTTTGTCTTTGTCTTCAATCGAAAAAGAGTACGCCTCTGTCTTTGTTTCTGTCATCTGTTTGTGTTGGTGTCTGCTTCTCTGTCCCCCATATGTCATCCCCTATTTCTATATCTCTGTCTGTCTGTCTGTCTGTCTGTCTGTCTGTTTGTCTGTCTGTCTGTCTGTCTGTCTGTCTATCTGTCTGTCTGTCTGTCTGTCTGTTTGTCTGTCTGTCTGTCTGTCTGTCTGTCTGTCTGTCTGTCTGTCTGTAGTATCATGTTACATCATTTTCATGACGTTTATCAGTTAATTAAACATCTAAATGTAACAATAGCCCAGACCGCAACTTGTTACAGAAACTGGGTAGTCGTTAATTATTGTTCAGATCTTGTTAGTCCTACATTCCTCTGATCTGTCAAGTCACGCGGCAGGCACCCTCTTTCCCGCTCCCTAATAGAGTCGTCTTACAGTGTCACCGAAAGTTCCGAAAGTTTTCACTAAGTCTCATACTATGGTAATGACATTGTTGATATTAGTCGCTAAACTTCTGGGCCAAGATGAGTAGGCAAAGGCAAATAGAGATACACATTTCGCAGGTTTGGGGGTTGTGCTTTTGTGATAGCATCTGCATTTTCAATCTCTCTCTAATAGTTGTGCACTTAAGTTGATTTGAGTTGCACATACCCTGCTTAGCATACTTTTATCTCTTGGATGCAGGGAATTTAAACATTAATATTTGTTTTTAACTGGATCGTTTATCCAGAGTGATAAGTACAATGACTTGTGGGCTGACCTGCAAGAAGACTCATCGTCCCGGGGGGGGGGGGGGGGGGTGGTTGGAGGGGAGAGTCTTAATTTAACTATAACTGTAGAAGTATTTTTAGATATTTAAATTTCCGAGATGAAACAGCATTATCTTTTTAATTTGAAGAATAATTGGGCTAAGTTTCATAGCAACTGGCAGTCATTTGTTTAAGCAATTACGCTATAATCAAGATAAAATACAGAAAAAAAAGAGTGTTGAGAAATCAGCAAAAAGAGGATAACTGATTAGGTAAACAAATATCTGCCATGTATACCTAAAAATGAGAAAAAAATTACACAGGATGTGTTTTTAAAAAACAAAACAAAACAAGTGTCATACTCCAAAAGATCCAGAGAAACATGGAGTTTCATGAGCGTAAAAAAACGTCAAATCCCCGGAGGTGAATCTTACTTTTTAACCTCTAGGCGTAATTGATTTATTGCGGGTTGTAATGGTGTTTGAAAACATTTTTGGATTGAATTGTATCGTTGTGCTCAACGGTATTAAAAATGAGACCAGGATCACGAAAATTATATTAAGACCTCATTTCTGTTCTTAATATTTGAAGCAGATTTGATGTTGTTGCCCTGTACACAATCAAACAAACACAAACACACACAGAAACACGTATAATGTGTTATTTTCGAACTCCTAAAAACTAAATTTTCATACGTACATTTCTTCATTTGTTTTCTTTCACTCCCTTTCCTTCATTTTTCCAATCAGAATCGTGCAGCTAACTAGGCTTGCAAGTGTCTCTGGAATCGTTGTCAGTAAATATTACCGCATAGCTCGTCTTGTTTAGTGAGATTGAAAATGAATGTTCCTGAGGGATTCTTTTCCTGTCACATTTACAACGTTAACAAAATTATTAATTTCCCCAAAGCCACATTTGTAGACTGTGTGTGTCCTGTTATTGCTCAAAGTAGCCCTGGAAAATTTTTACAGAGATGAAAGCTCGCTCCTTAGGTTTTTGATGCCATGGGCACCATAATAGTTTTAGAATGATCTTCACTCCCTACAGCTCTGTGGTCCTGACAGGGGGATACATTACGAATCATCCGTAAAAACAAGTGCCCTTCATTCAGCCAGGACAGAAAGGGCTCTGTCTCAGTGCAGATGCAAAGTCAAATTTGTCCTATACAGCCACCAATGTTAAGGAAAAAGTGATCGTCTTAAGCGTTTGGGCTTCTTGAAAAGTGTCAATCATTATATTAAAAAACAAAAAAACCGGTAAAACTGTATGTCACAATTCCCGTTTTCGTCGTTATCTGTCTTGGTCTACAGTTAGACTTGTTCTATTAAATTTTTATTTATCAAAACTACTTTGATCAGAAATAATTTTCTTTCTGCAACGACCTGGAGCCGTCCTGTGTTAAAAGCTAAAGTGCTCGACTTGTGAAACTGCTTGAATTTTAGAGTGAGGTAGTGAAAGTGCAAAACACCGGAATAATCTCGTAAGTGTTTCTAGCGTTGAAACGAGAGCACACTCTCTCTCTCCATTTCCTGCAAATGGACTCTTTAACACTATGACGTCTTGAAACGTACATGTACTTTGTTCTAGTGTGTCCTTCGCATTTCCCCAGAGGATACTATTCTGAAGTACGGTGTACAAGTATAGCAAAACGAAGGCTCTCTATGAAAATAACCCATGTGTGGCATTGCTGAATTTTTTAAAATACATCGGTGTGCAGTAAAGATAATTTACAAAGATCGCATTCATTTTTAATATAGACATTTCGTAACCACTGAAGTACATTCCATACGAAAGAATTGCTCTCAGAGGCAAAAATATATAATGTTAAAAATCTCTGTTCTCTTTCTGATTAAAAAAAAAAATTAGTATATTAGTCTCACTTTCATGGTGGTTGGAGGGCGCCACTTCTTTGTGGCCCCTCTGTCATTTCTCTGTCTTACCATTTCTCGGTTCTACATTGTAGATACATTGAGTTTTTTTGTTACTCTGATACACAAACATACTACTTCTTTAAAAGTGACCGAGTCGTGGAGGCCTTTCTCCTATTTTTGGTGCAGGTGTTCTAGTAGTTAGGCCTTCGAGCTTGCCAAAAGAAGGTCGTGGATTCAAACCCCATCAGTGGCAAGGCATTGAGTCCTTGAAAAAGCACTTTATACGATTTTTTTTCACTTTACCAAGGTGAGAGTGGGTACCCGGCAAAAGAGAGCTACAAAACTTGTGAGTTTCAGTTTGATAATGTTTGAGTTCTTAACCGGCTGTTTGCACTGTTTACTTTCCGGGAAGTTAGGAATATTTCTGAGTGTTCTAGGATCTGCATGGGTAACACAATTAGTTGTAAAGCGCACAGAGCACGCTGTAGAGTATGGATATGTGTTAGGTAAATGCAGATATTATTTATACTATTAAGTCATCCCATCCCCCAAAATCTGTGTCATGGCCATAAAATGCTCTTTCGTTCCCTGTACATTACCTCTAACGATTTCATGCATCTAAAGCACATTGACATGATATATAAAGACACAACTCCAGACACACACAAAGACATTATAAACACATATAAATACATTCATGGACACCAAAATGCGCGCGGGTGCACACACACACAAACACACACACACACACACACACACACACACACACACACACACATAAACACACACACACACACACACACACGAACGCGTGTATACACTCATCCATACATAATAATACATTGATAACAAGAAAAATGCATCTACTGTTTCTTCCATCCATTTCCGTCCCGATGTAGAGTATATGTGGGCTTTAAAGGGTTAAACTCCACAGCAACACTCATAACTATAGCAGCAACAACAGCAGCTAGCAACATAAACATGGCAACCGTAGGGAGCTCTTTACCGGACTGTGCCAGAATAAAAAAAGCCCATAATGACTGATTATATTAAGGAACTCCGGTCGTACCACGCTAGTGTTTCTTTGTGAATGCAGGGAAGCTCTGCAGAAAAGGAAATCCAAAATTGCATGCTCGCAAGCGATAAAGTTTTTACTCCGTGGGCTACTTTCGCGCCAGCAGGCCCTTGGATACGATATGGCATAACAGGAAAAAATAGTGTTGTTAATTACCTTTTGAGGATATTCTTGTTACGCTAATTTGAGGGGTGGTTATGGGTGTAGGAATGTAATCGATATCCAATTGAAAAAAAAAAAGATTATTGTTGCTCTCAAGTGTCGGTTCAGTTCTGGCATGTTTACCGGAAAAACAGGATCGGAACTTGGACGCTGAATGAGATGCGTTAATTTTTATAACGTGGTTTTGTGTGATTTTTATGTGTCCGCGCAGGGTGACGCAATCATGTAGTATAAAAAAATAACTAGTAAATTTTGCGTACATATAATATATAATGATATACACCTGTATATACTACATACATATATAAATAAATAAAATGACCAAAACGTTATGTATATATACATGTGTTGTGTATCTGTTTGTGTATTTGTGTGTGTTTGTGGGAGTGTGCATGTGCGTATGTGTGTATATATGTGCATGTGTGTATGTGTGTATGCGTGTGTGTATGTGTGTGTGTATGTGTGTGTGTGCGTGTGTGTGTGTGTGTGTGTGTGTGCGTGTGTGTGTGTGTTTTTTACTTCGGCAGACGTAATAAGGTGGAAGTGAAACATTTATAATATGGCCGGAAGATAGGAGTGGCAAAAGTGACTGGACTCTACTTGTGGAAAGTTGTTTTATTATCCAATTGGCCTGTAAAAGAACATAAGTAAATAGAAATGATGCAAAACATAACATGGATTGGGACTATTTGCGGTTCAGCAGTGAAATAGTATAATTAAGTAATATTATTTCTCTAAATTATGTAGATGATGGGTAAGAAGAGACAGAGGGAGAGCGAAACACACAGACACACACACACA